TATCTTTTTCATGAATGTTACTATCGCTTTCCATTGTACATGTTTCTTGAATTATTGATACTCCATATTTAATGTTTTGTAAATGTCGTAATTGTTTCTGGACTTATCATTTGATTTATGACATCATTGAAAAGAAATATTGTTAAACCGATTTGATTACTGATTTTCTGGTTACTCGCTGAGCTTCTAACTCACCCCAAAAATATTTTATTCCCCTCCACAGGGCTCAAAGCGAAGGAAGGACTTGTTGTGCTTATTCACATGTCTGGATGGCCTATATTTTGTACAATTTGGATTTGGAATCATTTTATGTATAGTTAGGAATTAGTTTCCGCTGCATTTGTGACATGTAATTATTGGAGACTTGGATGTATATTTCTGGACCATGTGATGTATATTTGAGATTTGTATTGTAATTTAATTGAGGAATTTAGTGATCGACTGAGTCCCGGCGAGAGCTGGGCAGGTGGCCCGCCGAACCCTCTGGTTCGCCTTAGGGGGAGGTGGGGCCGTCACAAAACCTGTAGGGTGTAAATGGATCTTCAAGAAGAAAACTGACATGGATGGTAATGTGGTTACCTATAAAGCTAGACTGGTAGCCAAAGGCTACAAGCAGAAAGAGGGAATCGATTACGATGAAACTTTCTCACCAGTAGCTATGCTTAAATCCATTCGGATATTGCTTGCCATAGCAGCATATCATGACTATGAGATTTGGCAGATGGATGTAAAGACCGCGTTCCTTAACGGAACATTGCATGAGGATGTGTATATGACACAACCTGAAGGCTTTACATCTACAAATCCTAGTCAAATATGTAAGCTACAAAAGTCTATTTATGGACTTAAGCAAACATCTAGGAGTTGGAACATCCGATTCGATGAGACGATCAAAGAGTTTCGATTTCTCAAGAATCCGGATGAACCTTGTGTGTATAAGAAAGTTAGTGGGAGTTCGATTGTTTTCCTTATTTTATATGTAGATGACATATTAATAATGGGAAACAATATACCGATGTTACAATCGGTAAAGGGTTGGTTGTCAAAGAACTTTTCCATGAAAGATTTAGGAGAAGCGGCCTATATATTAGGCATTAAGATCTATAGGGATAGATCTAATAGGCTACTAGGTCTTTCACAATCTACATATATTGATAAAGTGCTAAAGAGGTTTAGCATGGATCAGTCTAAGAGGGGTAATTTACCTATGACTCATGGTATAAGCCTTTCTAAAAACATGTGTCCAAAGACACAAGTTGAGACTGATAAGATGCACAATGTTCCATATGCTTCGGCAATTGGATCAATTATGCATGCTATGTTATGTACAAGACCTGATGTCTCCTATGCTCTGAGTGTCACAAGCAGATTTCAGGCTAATCCAGGTGAGGGTCATTGGATAGCCGTTAAGAACATTCTTAAGTACTTAAGAAGAACCAAAGATTTGTTCTTAATTTATGGAAAGGGTGAGTTAGAACTCAAAGGCTATACTGATGCAAGTTTTCAATCAGATAAGGATGAATGTAAATCGCAGTCAGGTTTCATTTTTACTCTTAATGGAGGTGCCGTCTGTTGGAAGAGTTCCAAACAAGACACCACAGCAGATTCTACAACAGAGGCTGAGTATATTGCGGCCGCGGAAGCAGCTAAGGAAGCAGTTTGGATCAAGAAGTTCGTAACTGAACTTGGTGTGGTTCCAACCATTGTTGATCCGGTCACTTTGTAATGTGATAACAATGGGGCTATACCTCAAGCCAAGGAACCTAGGTCTCATCAGCGATCCAAACATGTGCTTAGAAGATTTCACTTGATTAGAGAAATCGTTGCTAGGAATGATGTAAAGATAGAGAGAGTCTCCACAGAGGATAACATAGCTGATCCTCTTACTAAAGTTCTTTCTCAAAAGAAGCATGATAGTCATGTATTATCTTATGGGATGAAAAACATAGACAATGTGTTTTAGTGCAAGTGGGAGATTGTTGGAATGTATGCCCTAAAACAATATATTTGTTTTCATTTTATACATTCCTTATTATATGTTTTGTATTTTAATAACTTCTTATTTATCTGTTAAATATTAGATACAACCGATAAAGTCCTTAGAATATTTACTAATGTGATGATAGTCACAAGCGTTGGTGACTATGAGATATCAATCGTATTTATAGTAATATTATTAAAATTCCCTAGTTTTTGTACTAATGAAATCGGACATCTTTAGTACGGTAAAACTAGTACACAGTTAGCCTCTAATTAATGTAATTAGTGGTTGTTCTCATCAACTATGGTATGAAGATACTTAGGCTAATGTGTAGATGATTTGAAAAGTACAAATGCATTGGAGTGATCCGTTTAGAGATCCCGTTAGGATATCTATCTAGTGCCAATGGTGTATCTCTAGTGAAAAATTATGTAAGTGATCCTACGACTTGAATTCACCATAGAATCTTGAGTGGGAATCACTACATTTTGACTCTAATTACATGTTACTCTTTGAGAGTACCTTAAAGTGTAGGAGTTGGATGTAGTTTGAAGCACGTAAAGAAAATGGGTGATCAAGATAGGATTTACCACTCTGATAGAAGGAGTTGATATCCGGATGGCCACTAGTGAGAAATTAACCCTAAAGTCGACTATTAGGTAAATTGAAGAATGTCTTCAATTTAACCTAATCAAGGGTAAATTTCGGAAACTAGAAAATTTAATTAGTCATCAGGGAATTGACACTTATTCCTTATTCCTGACTAATTGGATATCTTTGGTGAAAGGATAATAATTACACGGTAATTTTTCACGGAAAGGTTAGGTCAAATTCCCTTGACTAATTCCGAATAATTGGGCAATCGCGATGTGTTGCTAGACACCGCTCGTGATTTATAATTATGGATTAATTATTTATTATAAGTTATGATAAAATAAAGTCGTTTATTTTATCTAATTATTAAACCATAATTATTACCAATGCATTCGGGACCTATTGGTCACACGCAATAGAGATTTAATCCTGGATTGAAACTATGTAAATTATCGGGGTTTAATTTTAAAAGAAAATTAATCCCAGGCCTATTTGAGCAGATAAGAGTAAATGGTTATCTCTTATCTATCAGATAATGATAGATAGAGTCTTGTGTGATGAGAAGTCTTATTGTTTTGATTTTGAATCAGACAAGAAGACTCATCATTCTATCTTATCATATATCTCTCTCTCTCTCTCTCTCCAATTATTTTTCAAGGGCTGAGATACAGATACAGGAGATGAGGTAAAAAGAAAAACGGGAGAAAAATTGAGTCTGTGAGCGTCACATACGAGAGAGAGAAAAAATATACGTTCGAAAAGAGTAAGAAGACTAGCACCTTTTTCTCTTCAAGACATAGTTCGTGAGACGATCCAGGGTTGCTCTAGCGTGGATATCAGTAGAGGCAGGACGACTGGACTGCTCAAGGGCTGACCATCCTCAAACAACGCTGCAGGGAGACGCCGCTTGGATTAAGGTAATCCTAAAACCCTACTTTTAGTACATCATACGTAAAATCTAGGGTGATTCCTGGATGGTTTTAGGGAAAAATTTTTATATTTCCGCTGCGTAGTATCCCTAAAACCCAACAGTGGTATCAGAGCCATCCCTAAGAATTTTACATATGATTTTAAGCAATTTTGGATTCATGGATTAATATTACTGGTTGGATTTAATTGATATACGAAATTGTGTGTAGAATAAGTTTCGGAGGAATATAAATATTGGGACTATATGGAAACTTGGGAGGAGGATCCCGAGGAGGATCCTTCTGAGGATGCGGGGTCTGCTAGTTCGGTCCACTTATGCTAGTGTTCTTGTGAGGACCCGAATTTTTCTTATTTTTATTTTAGTTTACAGGCTTAATTAATTATTTATTCACCCATTTTCTCCGAATATTTTATTCCAACCTTTTTAGACCCAAATACATGAAATTATGGCTTACATGTATTTTTAAAATGACTTGTTACAAAAATTAATTTTTGGTAAACTCGCTTAGTGAGAATAGTGAATACGCGTTTTCAGATAATAATCGAATCGAGGATACAATGAGTTTGAGAAATTGGAGACTTGTACATTAGTTTTAAAATAGGTATTTTTATACTTAAATATTCAAGTATTAGTTAGTAAAGCTATCGTTATAAGAATTTCTTGAAAGTTTCGCTTTATCGCGCACAAATCGGAGGTACGCGTTTTCACACGCGCGATTAATTGAGGGACTTAAGACCATTATTTTTAGACCATTGAGAGTGAATAATAATAGTATGAAAATAAGTGCATTAGAGGTATAGTGCACAAGTGAAACAAACTCGAAAGGAAACGAGTACGAAACGCGCGCGTGCTCGCGCGGGGAGAGAGTTGACTTTTGAACGAATCGTAGCCACACATTAAAGCTTCTCTTGGAAGCTTCATTTTGATCAAAACACTCTCTCTCTTGCTCTCATACCAGCCGGCCAGCAAGGGAGGGAAAACAACCTAAAGCTCTCCCAATTTCTTCACCATTTCTTCACAAAATCCTCAACCAAATCACCCCAAATTTTAGCTACAACTTGTAAATCACTTGGAGACCACCTCAAGCTAGGAAGAGAGCTTGCTTTCCACGGTTTTGTTTGTGACAGCCCCACCTCCCCCTAAGGCCAACCAAAGGGCTCGGCGGACCGCCTGCCCAGCTCTCGCCGGGACTCACTACAGTCCTCAATTAAAATACATCACTCACAGCCAATAACATAGGGTACAACCTCAAGAATAAACGAAATAACATTTTTCAAACTTAGAACGAGATAAGACACATTACAAATCTCAAGTAAGGGTATCATTCTCCGAATAAGACAAAAGTCCTCAGTTCTCAAATAATTACATCAAGTGAATCGAATTCAAATTATATATGAGATATTCCTTTAGGCACTAATAACTCAATACAAGCGCTTTCTTTGGCCTCGAGCCCTGTGGGGAAAAATTATTTTTGGGGGTCACTAATTAAGCCTCGAACTTCCACTTCCAAACCTGTTAAGGAAAACAAATTGGGGTGAGCTAACGCTCAGTGAGGCCAAGGGAAAAACATGCAAGCATGCTAGCAAAGACACAATATAAAGCAATAACTCGAGTTACAAGTAACTGCGAAACGTTAAGCAACTAGGGAATTTAATCACAATAAAAGGATATGGGAGCTCTCAGGAGCTAATCCACGCGCGATCCAAGCTCAGGTAGTTGACCCTCCGTCAACTTTCACAGTTATCCATGTAGAACTCCACTTACTACCTCCAGCCACCATGACACCCTCTTGGATCCGTAACCAAACAAGCATGTAGGTGGTATCACTTAACAAGTATACCTAGCAAGACCCCTTATTTGGATCAAGCTATAACACTTCCCAAGGTTCACCAAGTTTCTCGACCAAGCCCTTGTCGGCTCGAGTTACAAGGCTAGCCAATGGGTTGGGGTGTCCCCCCCATTCACTTTTAGGTCGATGAGACGAAGCTCCAATCGACAAGATTTGGTCGTAGCATTGAGACGGGATGAGCGGTACCTCCTACCCTAAAAGGGCATGATACATTCTGCCGCTCAATGCTCACGAAAAACACTTTTATTTGCATTCACATGTAACACGTATCACTTATCAAGCAAGCAATTTCATGAAAGAGAGGACAAGGGCGATAAAGTATGCCCTAGCCTCATTAACTAGCAAGTACAAGAATCATTTCATTTAAACACTTCACATGCACTTGATACTCACCAAGTATCAAAAGTCAAAGTTTGAGAAATTAGCTCTAAGACGCTTCGCCGGGAGTTCCCTCGAAGTCCTCTTGAGATCCTGAAAGTATGCAATAATGCATTGTATCTCAAATTTAAAGAAAAGAAATAGTCAATTTTGACTCCACAATTCAAGTTTCCAAAGTATTGCCCTTAAAAGAACATTTAGGTCCAAATTGGAAATTTTCACTTTTCGAGTCATTCGTGGAAAAATCAGTCCGGAAGTTCGGAAAGTCTAAAATAGAAAATTTTACACCGTCAAAAACTTCATTCAAAGCATAAAAACTTTGTAGAAGGTCACTTTCCAAGAATCAAATCAGAAACAAGTCAATTTCTCCAAGAAAGTTTACTATTCATTGAAGATAGGTCAAAACAGTCCAAGTTTTTCCAATAATTTTGGAATTTCGTTAAAAATCGTAGAATCAAAACCAGCCTTTGAAATTTGATATGCATGTAAAGTTCCAATCCAGGTTTCAAATGAAAAAAACGGAACTCGATTCCGATGTTCCTAACTCAAGAAATAAAAAGTTGAAGTTCGCTAAAATTCCTGGACTGTTGGCCTATTTTCCAGATTTAATGCACTTCGCTAATTAGGCCGTATCTCACTCGATTCTCAGTGAAATTGAAAACGGTTGGTGGTGTTAGAAACTAGGTTCATAAGGATATATTTATGCAGAAGAAATCATTTCCAAAATCCAGACATAAGCGGTTCAAAATCAAGCAACAAAATGGATTTTCTTGACAGTCTCGGATGAACAGTAATAAACAGGCAGCCAACTTTCAAAACTCGCCACGATTCGCTCGGGACAAACTAGAAAATGAGCTTGGTACCATTTTAAAGCTCTAAGAGTCTACTTTCAAATGCCACAAATGGCACTCAATTTTAATCAACGAGCAAAACGTTATAGCTACACAAATGTTGCTGGTCAGAAAATTCTGGAGCTTGTTCCAGTTTTGCTTCTTTACTTGTAACTCAAAATTTAACCAACCATTTGGGTTGATTTTTGGTAGACAACCACAATACACATAGCACAACATATCTACACCAATTTGGAAGCTCAATTAGCACCAGAAAATTTTCGAAATTACAGGGCAGCAGCAAACAAGAAAGTCGGCAGCAAGTCAGAAATTTCAGACAGTACCTTCTCCAAATTTCTAACTTTCTTCCAACTTCATGCCATCAATCATTCTATATACATGTAACATAGCACAATATCAGCAACCACAACATGCTAATTCATCACATCAGTCACCAATAAACATCCTCAAACCCTCGAGCATGTCATGGAATTGCAAGAACATAATTACTCAACCAATCAACCCAAACTCTACCATAGGTTGCAAACCCATGCTACCTTTGCTCCATTTGAGCTATAATTTTGCAAGATTGAAGTGTGGGTGAGTGAGTTACCTCAAGAACTTAGTTGGACAGCTTTAGGGCAGAAATCTTGACCGAAATTCCTCCAAGAAAACCGAAGAACAGCCCCCTCTTCCAAGCTATGATCAAAGCCTTCTAATGGATGATGAAATTTGGAAGTGGATTGAAGCAAGTTTGTGAGGATTTTGGCTAGATTTTTTTCTTCCCATCTTCGGCCAACTAGAGAGTGACGAGAGGAGAGAGAGTGAAATCAGGTATTGTAATGAAAGTGGAGAGAATTGGTGACTTAATGGTTAAGTCTATGTGTCAACTCATGCTAGGTCCGTTTAGGGTCTTTGCGTGTCCAATTTTCGCGCTCGTTTGTAACTTTTGTGCACTAAACCTCTGAGATAATTTCCCTAGTACATTAATAGTACATTACTAGAAGTCTAATATCATGTTCTTAAAATCTCCAATTAATCAAATTAATGTGCCTGTCGGGGCCTTTTCGGCACGCGCGTATAAAGGTCAAACTTAAGGGTTTTCTCATTTGAACTTGAAAATTCAACTTATTCGATTCTAAAACTCTAAAATATGATAATCCAAGTATATATATATATAACAATAAAAATCACGATAAGCAATTCATCTTGAATAAATTTGGGTATTAAAATAATATGCGCGTAAAGAATCAATCGGAAAAATTTATTTTCGAAAATTCATGTACTTTAGTATATTTTATTTTATTTTTATTTTATTATTATTTTTTTTTGGGTAACTCGAGTACGAAATATTTTTAAAATGACCAATTTAACAATATTTTGAAATAATAAAATTATGGGTCCTCACATTGTTGAGCTTCAAGAGGCCAAAACTTTCTGCTTTGTTCATCAAGAGAGGTAAACCACAATCAACTACAAGAATCTTAGTTTATGAAGACTATCTTGCACTTATAAGCTTATATAATCATGTGGGTAGCTTTATTTATGTTGGAAAGTTGGTGTGTGGGCTCTATGAACTCTCACTATAGCTTGATGGACTGATTTGTTGTGTTTTGATGTTATTAATGTTGGATTAGTGTTTAATCTAGTGGAAATAGGTTGTATTGTTGAAGGAAAACTCAAAGAAAGTGATGAGGGAATTTTTCCAATTCTGCCCCTGTACATGCCGTGGCCCTTAGAGCCAATTTTTGTGGTTCTAATGACTTGTTTACGATGTATACATGTTGTGTTGGTTGCGTAGAAAGTTTCATCAAAAAATTTCATAATTTGGATGGGTAGATGTTGAGTTTTCGAAAGTCCAGTAAAACTGAAATTTTTCCCGAAACTGCTCTGGCAGTGTTATTTAAACAGCTATAACGTTTTGCTCCGATGAGAAAATTGAGTGCTGTTTGTGGCACTGGAAACTAGACATTCCCAGCTTTCCAACGTTATAAATACACATTCTGATTCCACCTGAGTAGTCCATACCAATTGTTTGAACATGACTGTCCTATTTCGCGTCTACACTGGGAGCTCTGTTTTGAGCAGCGAATTGATGCTCAAATATGAGCTAGCTGTGGACAGATTTTGGAAATGATTTCTTCTAAGAAATTGTATCCTTATAAATTTAGTTTTCAACGCCACCAACCACGCTCAATTCCGAGTTGAATTGAGTGAATTATGGCCAAATTACAAACCTACATCATTGCTTGAAAACCCTCATTTTGGACTGATCAATGGCCTATCTTGTTTGGGACTTGTTATTTTGAAAATTTTGGTGTCAATAACTTACCAAATGTATATTATATGTTTCTCAGACTTTCATTTCATAAATAGACCAGATTTGAATCGTTTTCATTGAGCAAAATGTTTGAAAGAGAAGAAGAAAGCAAAAGACAGATTGGTCTTGAGATTTTCTTGAACTTTGGTAGTTTAGTAAACTACCTTCCCGTGTGAATTTTAAAGTGAAATTTGATAGAGGAGTATTCCTCATATGGAAGTAGAATTGTACCAATTTTGGTGTCCATCAAAGACTATTTCGATATACAAATGATGTGCCAAAGTTTGCTATTCAAATCTGGAAAACTCTTCCTTTCTCTCGGCCGAATGGTCCAACTTGTTTGGAATGTTTTGTTTCAAAAACTTTGATGTCAATTGCCTCTAAATTGCTCATTGGATGTTTATGGAACATTGGTTTCAAGATTTGAGTTAATTAAGGTTGATTTGTGTGAGACAAAACTTTTAAAAGGAAAGAGAAACTTGAGTTGGCAGAATTGCTTTGAAAGTTTCACAAACTTCAGTAGTTTTGTTAACTGCCTTTCCACGTGAATTTTTGTTAGTGTACCAAATTTGGTGTATTTTCAATGCCAACTCAATGACCAAATAATGCCCCAAATCTGCTCTTCAAATCTGGAAAATTGGCCAACAGTCTTCATTTTTAACCAACTTTGAGCTGCTATATCTTGACGCTCAAAACTCCGATTTTAGTTTTGTTTCTTGTGTTTTAAACTTTGATTGTACCTCCATTTGAGTTCCAAATTTTAGAGGCTAGTTCACATTGTGTGAATTTTTCCGAATTTCCAAACTTTGCCGAAAATCAACCCAAATCTGTCTTGGTATTCTAAGACAACATCTTGGACCCAAAATTTGAATGTCTTCCAATTGGAATCATGGAAAAATGTCTTCTAGGAACTTTTAGTACTTTGGAAGTTGTTTCCAACGGTACCAATTTTTTCAATTTTAGACCTACAGAGTGCAAGATATGATTTTTCTAAATTTGACACACAAAACTGAAATTTGCCAATTTCTTAGAAAATGAAATTTTGGAAACTTGACTTCCTTTCTCGATATCGACTGAATGTTTTGAACTCGATTCCATGGAAATACTAGTCTCTCTCTTTGGACTTTAAAACTTCACTCGTGAACCTCAAGTTAAGGGAATTGAAGCTCTCTTTTAGGACTTTGATTTAGTCTAGATGAGTGTACATCCCTTCTTGGTAAATGCATGATTGTGAGTGAAGTTGATTATTGTTTGCTCAGGCGCTCAAGGGGACCTTCAAGAGGAACTCGGAACGGACGCCTAAACACTTGTTTGAGCACTTACTCACTTGTTTTGACTAGGTGAGTGTTCCATATAGGAGTACGTAATCTGAATAAGTCTATGACATGCTTATTCCATGATCATTAAGTGTTAAGTGCTACATGTTAAGTATTTACCACACTCATGCATATTTAAGTAAGGTATACTTGAATGACTCGACATGAAATACTTGCATTGCATATTTACGTGAAGTGTTTAAATGATTAATTATACTATGGCTACATAAGTCGGTTGGAGTGAATCTCCTCGACTCTTAAGTGGTAAAAGTGGGAAATGGCCAACGACGGCCTATTAAAATGGCAAATATCTGCCAATTAACCGTAATTACTTACCGTTAACCGTTAACCGTAATTACTTACCGTTTACCAACCTACTTGATTACCTGACTACTTGATTACCTGTTTACTTGATTACCGTAAATTACATGTCCATATGAAATTACCGCATATTGCTTACGTGTTTACGTGTTAAATGTTACTGATAATTGCTGATATGAAATTGTCCACCATTTTAAGGCGAGTGTGTACTTGATCTCACTCGACCTACTAAAATGACAGATTTTTACCGTTAACCGAGAACTATTACCGTTTACCGTTTTACTTGATTACTTGTGCATGTTGTAAGCTCTAAGCTGAATTGGGCCCTGCCCTTGGTTACTGACCTACTCGAGCCAGGACTTGGCTTGGTTGGGTAGGTTGGAACCCTGGGACACCGTTTCGGTATACTCGAGTACTACCACTAGAGGGATAAGGTGATGGCCAGACAAACCAAGGGGTCTGAAGTTATAAGGTGCAGTTGACCGAAATGGTTCCATTGGAACACCGTATCCTTCAATGTGTGTTTATTTTACATAATGATAACTGTTTCATGCTAACGTGCCAATGTGCAACCCATGAGCCAAACCTGTGATATGCTCAAATTACTCGTAACATGATAACTGTCTCATGTTAATGTGTCAATGTGCAATCGTGAACCATATATGTATCATGCCTAACTTGTTTGATTTATTAGAATTGCTAGAGTGTCTTGGAACCTCACTGGGCTGTGTAACTCATTCCACATTTTTGTTTTCCTTAACAGGGTTCGAGACCAAGAGTGCTCGTGAATAGTACTAGATTATTTTTCTTTTGAAGACTTTAAGTTGTATTATAGCTGATGGCTATAATACATATTCCGTTGGATTGTATTTAAGTTTGAAAACTAACTAATTGTAAGTGTGAGATATTTTGGAGTACTTTAATTATGTATTGAAGTTATTTGAAGCATTCCAAACTTTTGAATTGTGGATTGTAGTGAGTCCTGGCGAGAGCTGGGCAGGCGTTTCGCGGATACCCTTTTGTTCGCCTTAGGGAGAAGTGGGGGCGTCATAGTTCTTCTAATCTTTTGACTTTTGTTAAGGAGTTAGAAAAGGTGATCCTCGCCTTGAGGTCTTTTGTATTTTGTTGCATGTACCCCTATATTTTGAGGCACTTGGATGCCTATGTTCTGTACTTGACATTATTGACTTGTTTTATGCACTCTTGACTTGTAACATGACTTTTAGTTTATTTAAAAAATTATGTTTTAATTTTATATCTTAAAGCACGGGTATACGCCATAGACAAGCAATAGGCTCCAGAGTCATCTGAGACAATAGAAGGTAAAAATTTCGAGGTCGAAATTTTCTTAAGGGGGAGAAAGTGTGAGGACCCGAAAATTATTTTAACATAGAATGAGTATGTTAATCCTGACGAGAGTTGGGCAGGCGTCCCGTTGATACCCTAGGGTTCGCCCTAGGGAGAGGTGGGCATCATAGTTGGTATCAGAGCGCTAGGTTTGAAATACCTGGAGTAGTGTTAGGAATTCTTAGTCGTGAACTTTTGGTTATAGAAATCCGTGGTAAAACTTAAGTTAAATTTTTGAATGGCACCAGTGATTTTAAGTACCTAACCTTTAGTTTTCTAGGTTATTTGTAGGATATGGGCAGTGGCAGCGACAGTGATAGGATCGAGGGACCTCCCCTAGTGATTCGATTTCGGATGGTTGGATGCGGATCCCCCTTCGGTGATCACCCGCCAGGCGGATTAGGACGTGCCCGTGCCACGAGAGGTTCTCCTACCCTAACCAAGTGGTGTTAGGAGTAGTTAAGGAGAGGAAACCCATGACCTCAGGATAGCAAGAGCAGAGAGAGAGGAGATGAGGGCCACTATGAAGGCCCAAACCGCTAGGATTCAGGAGTTGGAGACTAGGGTTGTCGAGGAGCGTCAGAGGGTTGACGCCTCCTATGCTCAGTTTCAGGCGACCGATGGGCGCCTTACTCGGATTGTGGAGGAGGTGGGAAACCGTGTAGATGGTATTATGGCGGAGTATGTGACCATGGCCGATCACACAAAGGAGACCATGGGTGGAGGAGGACCTGGGGATGTTTTCCCTAATGATGAGGTAGAGATAAAGGCCATGGAGGGCGATCCTGAGCTGGAGCCCGAGGAGGATCCTTCTGAGGATGTGGGGTCTACTAGTTCTGTCCACTTATACAAGTGATCTTCTGATCTTTTGACTTTTGTTAAGGAATTAGAAAGAATGATCGTCGCCTTGAGGCCTTTTGTATTTTGTTTCATGTACCCTTATATTTTGAGGCACTTGGATGCCTATGTCTTGTACTTGACATTATTGACTTGTTTTATGCACTCTTGGCTTGTAACATGACTTTTAGTTTATGTAAAGAATTATGCTTTAATTTTAAAGTGTTCTTGCAACTTGCACATGTTTTTAAATTTTTACGCTTATTTTGCCTCTTTTAATTTTGCGTTTAGACTCTTGCTAAATGGATCGGCGAGGACGTGAACAGTGTCGTGGGCGTGGGTTCCGGCAACCCCGTACTCCCGAGAGAGATGAGGGATCAGCGATTGGTTCGAACCAAAACCCTGGGAATGAAGGGGGTGACCAAGTGGCTACGACCTTTAACCGTATAACTGATGTCCTTGAACGTCTAACTAGGGTTTTAATTGATCCCGGGGCAACCCATTCATTCGTAGATCCTAACTTTATGAAGGGCATAGATGTAAAGTATGATTTCTTACCTTTTGATTTGGAAGTTAAGACTTCTACAGGGAACCAATGCCTAATTGCTAATAAGGATTATAAAAATTGTGAGATTTGAGTTGGTGAGAGGAAATTGTTGGCAGATTTAATGAGCCTAGAAATTACGGGATATGATGTGATACTTGGGATAGATTGGTTAGTTCGATACCATGCTTAGTTGGATTGCAAGATGAAATTAGTAGAATTGCGCATCCTGGGAAAATCAACCTTGAAATTAGATGTGAGGGGTAGACTAGCATCGTCTGCTCTAATTTCGAAGATTCGAGTTAGGAAATTGTTGAGTAGTGGGGCTAAAGGATATCTAGCCTTTCTTATAAATACACCTAAGGTGAAGTTGGAAAATGTGCCAGTAGTGAAAGAATTTTCTGATGTCTTTCCCGAGAAATTAGAGACGTTGCCTCCAGAGAAAGAAATAATGTTTAAGATCGATGTAGCTCCGAGGACGGTACCTATCTCTAAGACGCCTTACAGGATGGTTCCAACTAAATTAAAAGAATTGAAGTTGCAGTTACAAGATTTTTTTAGAAAGAAGCTTTATTAGAGAAAATGATTCACTGGGGGGAGCTCCAGTGCTCTTTGTTAAGAAGAAAGATGGAAGTTTAAGACTATGCATAGACTATCGAGACTTGAATGATGTGACCATTAAGAACAAATACCCTTTGCCTCACATAGATGAGTTATTTGATCAACTGCAAGGGGCCGTGGTATTTCCAAGTTGGATTTGAGGCAGGGTTATTACCAGTTGAGGATCTTAGAAGCGGATGTGCCTAAGACCGCTTTCAATTCGAGATATGGGCACTTTGAATTTGCAATTATGCCTTTTGGGTTAACTAATGCGCCAGCAGTATTTATGGACTTGATGCGTCGGGTCTTTAATCCATATTTAGATCCATTTGTGGTGGTATTCATTGATAACATATCGGTGTACTCTAAGTCTCGAGAAGATCATGAACGACACCTGAGAATAGTTTTGCAAACCTTGAAAGAGTACCAACTTTTTGCTAAGTTCAATAAATGTGAGTTTTGGTTGGAAGAAGTAGCCTTTCTAGGTCATATAATCTCTAAGGAAGGGATTACTGTGGATCCAGCTAAGGTAGTAGCTGTTTCTAAGTGGAAACGACCAAAAAATCCTACAAAAATTCGGAGTTTCTTAGGGTTAGCGAGGTATTACCGCTGATTTATTAAGGACTTTTCTAAGATCGCGAAATCCCTAACCGAGTTGACTAAGAAGTATGGCAAGTTTATATGGGATTCTAAATGCGAGAAAGGGTTCCACGAGTTGAAGAAGAGTTTGACCGAGGCACCTATATTAGTATTGTCGAATGGAGGAAAGATTTGGCGTTTGAAATTGGAGATAAAGTGTTCCTTAAGATTACACCTTTGAAAGCAAGTCTAATGGCAAGAAAAGGAAAGAAATATCCAGAGTTATTTGTAGATCAAGGTATAAATTTCGAGAACGAAATTCTTTTAAGGGGGAAAGCATGTGAGGACCCGAAATTTTTCTTTAACTGGTTTATTTATTTATTTATTTATTTATTCATTCATTTACTCCAATTAATTTATTTCATTCATTTTAATTGCATTTGCATGATACATTGCCTCAATTTATATTTTAACACCTTTGCCCTTAAAGTTAATTTTTCTGTCGCCGGATTAGTGAAAATTAGTAAATACGCATTTTTCGAAGTGATATTCGATCGGAGAGTGCAGTGGTTTTGGAGAATTAAGGATGCACAATTGTAGACTAAGAAAAGTTAATTGAGAGATTAGATGTGAGTGAGTTGAATTAACCTCAATCAGGAGCACTAATGGGCCACTATTCATTTGTTGACTTTTGCACCAAAAGTAACTTTATGTTCCATCTTTCTTTTATCCATATCACTTCAGCAAAAATCACACACAAACCATCTCTTTTCTCCCTCCCTTGGCCGGCCACTTCTCTCTCCATTTTGCCAAGAAAGTTTCAATTTTTCTTCTTTATTTTGCTCACTAAAACTTACTCCAACCTAGCTTAACTCTTGGATCATCCTCAAGCTTAGTAGGAAACTTGGAGGAGAAGAAATTCTTGGTGGTTTAGAGCTTGATTTCTTGATGTTTTGCCCACTACCATTGGAGGAAGGTAACCTCTCAAAGCTCCCATTTTTCTTTCATCTTTTAGTTGGTTTTAGTTAGTTTTAGTTAGTTTTTAGCTAGATATGCTTGGGTTTGTTGATGGGTTCCATGAACCTTGACTTTAGGTAGATGCCTTGAGGAAAATTCTTAGGTAGTAGCCTTGAGGATTTCTTGTTTGTTTGGTTGTTGTTTTAGTGATTTCTAACTTGGTTTTGGTGTGAAAGTTGGAGAGAAAAAATTGAAGAGATAGAAGAGCAAGGCTGTCTGATTTTTGCTGGTTTATTTCCCTTGTTTTAATTTCAAAATTTATGGTTATATTGATGTAAAAATGCTTGCTACATGTTGGGTTATGTGTGTGTAAATTATCTTCCAAAAAGCGCTTTATTTGGATGAGTTAAAGTTAAGATAAAGAGAGGAAAACAAACCTGGAAATTCTGATCAGTGTAGCCAACCAGTGCGCACTCAACAGCACATAATTTTTCGTATAAGAGTCAAAATCAAGTGCCATTTGCAGCATGTTAAACTACACTTTGAGAGCTTTCTAACGATATAAAATGCACCTGTTAGTTCATTTTCTATGAGTTGCAGTGAACTGGCAAATTTAGCTGTTTTTCCTCACTGTTTTAACCGAGAAACAAGCATAGCTGCAGTTTGTAGCTCATTTTCACTCATCTTACAAAATGAATTTGAAGATAGTTTCTTCTAGTAATTTTTAGCACTTTGAATCTAGTTTTCAACGCCAAAAACTACGCTAATTTTGAACTTGTGTAGACTTATGTATGACCTGATTTAGAAACAATGTCGAATGTTCCAAAGCGGAAATTTCATGAATCAGGTTTCAAAAACCAGCTTTAGAAAAACTGTTGTATCTTGGTGTAGAAAAAATTCAAATTGAGTTCTATTTATTGCGTTTGAAACTGCACTTGGAGTTCTTTCAGTGGTATAAATTTCAAGGGTTAGTTTAATTCCTATGAATTTTGACAAATTTTCAAAATTCACTGAAATTCAAGACTGTTTTACCCTGTTCTCACTGAAGTAGTGATTTGGAGCTCTGATCTGATTGATTTCTGATTCAAATCTGGAAAAGGTATATTCTAGAGAGTTTTAGTTCATTGAATTTATTTTCCAACGGTATAAGATTTGCAAATTTTGGACTTATGGAACTCAAGTTATGATTTTTCAAAGAATATTGCCAAAACTGAAATTTCCTTATAAAAAGGTAAAAGCTTAAAAAATGGCTTGGGAACATTTTCTAGGTTTCAAGCCTAACTTTCTTGATTATTTGCATCTCATTTCATACTTGGAAAATAGATTTAACCTCCTAGTCTTATGCCCTCGGTTTTCATGAAAATGAACCATAACTGGAGCATTTTAACTAGAGTAATTCTTGAGGAACTTCACAAGTTTTATATTTGAAATTTGGAACTTTTAACTTCAATATTTACTATGAAAATAAGTAGCGTTTTGATGGATTTTGACTCCATAAGTTTAGAAAACGTAAACGCTCATTTATATTCTAAAACTTGGACATAGGATTAGAAGTTTTAAGATATGAAAACCATTTTTCCTTTCCTCGATTTTCGTGCCAAAAATTAAGTATGGTACTCCTCTTTTGAAATCAAAATTTCTTGCCACGACTTGACTTGAAAATGACTTTTGAGTCCTCCTTAAGTATTATTTCAGTGATTAAGAGCGAAGGTCTCTTTTAATTTGATGTGAAATTGTGGCTTTGAGTGTGGGTAGCAAGAGGATATTTTTCTTATTAGCCTTGATTGAGTACCTAGGTAACCATGATTGTGCATGTCTTAGGTGGTCACGTGGACGCCGAGGAGCTTGTTTGACTTCTTGCTTTTGTTCTTGCTTTGCCCTTGAATTTTGGTGAGTGTCAAGTGCATGCTTCATGTTGCTATGATTGAAATGATAATTGTACAAGTGCTATGTGATTCTTGTGAACTTGCCGAGGTGAGGGTGTACTTTATCACCCTCGTTCTCTCCCTCTTGAATGCTTGCTACTTGAAATATGAATTTGTATGACTTGCACTTGTACTCAAACATGTTTTGACTCGTGAGCACTGAGCAGCTGCAAGTACCCCACCCTATTCGGGTGGGAGGTGTCTCTAATCCCGACTCAGTGCTATGATCGATTCTAAATCGATTGGAGTGTTGTCTCATCAACCAATTGTACTTGTGGGGACGCTTAAAATCCAATGGCTAGCCATTCAACTGAAGCAAGCAAGGGCTTGGTTGAGGAGTTTAGTGAACCTTGGGCTTGTGTTCTTGACTTGCTTGGATATACTAGAGTAATATCACATCTTGTTTGACGTGCGGGTCCGGCAGGGGGTGTAACGGTGGACGGAAATTGGTGAAAAGTGGGGTTCTACGGACTTGTTACTTGCTTGGTTGACGGAGTGTCAACATTTGGACATTGTGGTTCAAGAGTATCATGAAGCAGTGTGGATTTAGCTCCTGAGAGTTTCTGTATCCTTTCTACTTATGTTTTACTTCTTATTTGTGCATTTAAATGAAATTTCATGTTAGGTCAATTTTAAGTGTGATTTTTAATTTAATTTGTGCTACTTGCTTGCTTGCTTGATTTTTCTTGGCCTCATTGAGCGTTAGCTCACCCTAAGTTGTTTTTCGTAACAGGTTTTCGAAGTGGAAGTGGGGGACTCTAGACTAGCAATTTTTTGTTGGAGCTAGTAAATCTTTTGTATGATATTGGAGACATTTGAAGTGTAAACTTTGTTATATTTGGATTTTTGGATTGTAATTGCAAATGGTAGCCTTAGAAGAATTTGGCTTGTATATTTGAAGTTTTCCTTTAATCCTAAGTCTATGGTTGACTTGTGGTTCTCTATTAAGCTAGAATGAGTGTGTGAGTCCTGACGAGAATTGGGCAGGCGTCCCGCTGATACCCTAGAGTTTGTCCTAGGGAGAGATAGGGGTGTCACATTTGGTATCAGAGCGCTAGATTTGAAATGCCTGGAGTAGTGGTAGGAGTTCTTAGTCGTGAACTTTTGGTTATAGAAATCCGTGATAAACCTTAAGTTAAATCTTCGAATGGCACCAGTGATTTTAAGGACCTAACCTTTAGTTTTGTGGGTTATTTATAGGATATGGACAGTGGCAGCGACAGTGATAGGATCGAGGGACGTCCCTCAATGATTCGATTTCGGATGGTTGGAGGCGGACCCCACCTTCAGTGGACACCAGCCAGGTGGGTTAGGAGGTGCCCGTGCCGCAAGAGGTTCTCCTACCCTAACCAGGTGGTGTTAGGGGTAGTTGAGGAGAGGAGACGGTTGACCCATGACCTGAGGGTAGCTCGAGCAGAGAGAGAGGAGATGAGGGCCACTATCGAGGCCCAAGCTGCCAGGATTCAGGAGCTGGAGGCTTGGGTTCTTGAGGAGCGTCAGAGGGTTGGCGCCTCCTATGCTCAGTTTCAGGCGACTGATAGGCACCTTATTCAGATTGTGGAGGAGGTGGAAAATCGTGCGGATGGTATTATGGTAGAGTGTGTGACCATGGCCGATCACATAAAGGAGGCCATGGGTGGAGCAGGACCTAGGGATGTTGCCCCTGGCGATGATGGGAAGAAAGAGCCCATGGAGGAAGAGCCCGAGAAGAATCTGATAGCATCATGGTACGTGGGCAGGCCAACAATGGCTCGGGTAATCGAGGAGCTGAGGATCACGTGCTCGCCCCAAGTGGACCCATTACTCGGGCTCGCGCAAAGAAACTTCGTGAGCAACTCAATGTACTTATTCAGGCCATACACAAGTCCTTTGAAGGATTCATGCATTCAAGTGAAGGTGGTCGCGGTCCGATAATGAGCATTGAAGCTACACCCGAGGATTAGGGTTTTGCCAAACCCTAATTTCCGTTTTAGCATCATAGTTAGTTATTTCCACATTAGTTGATTAGATTGAATAGTTGGCTAAGTGCATATCGCACGTAGAATCGCCAAGGGTAGGATTGCTAATTTACTCATTATTATTTGCTAGAGTGGGCTGCCTAGGAAGGAAAGCCCACGTGAGGCCCAACCCGTCGGGGGTTAAGCCTCCTTTATTAGGGCCCATATCCACTGCGCCCTTAGTCCATTTTCTACTAGATTAGGGTTTTCACTTGTAGCCTATATAAGGCACCATATTACATCAATAAAGGGGAGACGCTTTTATGATAAAAATATTGAGAGAGTTTTCTCCATAGCTTTCGAGCAAACCTTGAACAACTTAGAGTTATACTCTAGTGTTCTTGTTCGGCTTATCAATTCAAGAATCGCACTTGAATTGTGGCGCCTTCTACACTTGCCTGAGGTTCACTAATTCGTTTGATTACGGGTTGAGATAGCATCAACAAGTTCGTAGTCACGGGGATTAGAGGGGTCGTAGGGTTTCCGCTGCCACCGTTTCTTGCACCCGACGTCAAATCCAACAAGCGATCTTGGGTTGCGAATCTTCTCACCAACGGGATTCGTATCAGCTGGCATCAGAGCTAGCTTGTTGGTAACATTGTTTATCCCTCTTTTGTGTCTTAATTCGTACCTTCCGTATCTGTCTCGTTAGTTAAAAACTGTTGCACGTTGCGTCTGTCCGCGAGTTTCTGCCCGCGAGTTCCCTTTGTGTTCAATTCTGGTCATCGTGTTCTGGAGTCTGTCTTGGTGTCGTCTTCGATTCCTGGAAATTTTGGAAGTCAAGTGTGTTGTGTTTGGTTTGGTGGTGTGTGATTCCAGCAATCGTTAAAAAAAAAAAAAAATATTCTGCTCGCGACTCTCTCCCAAGTCGCGAAGTGCAGCTCTTGAAGTTGTCAAATTCTGTTCGTATCTAATTGTTGTGTATGGGTTGTTTCTAAATCTGTCTTGAATCTTTACCGAGTTGTTTGTTTTCTAGGAAAGTATTGGTGCCTTGTTCTGGAATTTCGTAAGCAAACTTCACGAATTCTTGGAGTTCTTGGAGAGATCCTTGACACTTGAAATCTGGAAATTTGCAGCGAATGCCCTGAACTTATTTGCTGGAAATCTTGCATTGAGTTTAGAACCCTTGAACTCTCTTGACTATTATACCATACCTGGGGCTGGGCTTGTTACGTTTGGGCACCAAGAACCCCACCTACCCGTTGCCAAAAGCCACCCAACAAAACGCAAACAGAACCCAAAAAAAAAAAGAAAAAAAAACTGACCTGGGAAACCTTTGGTAACCGACAGCTCCTTTCACTCGAAGTTGCTGTTGTAAAAAAAAAAAAAAAAAAAAACACAGCAAGCAGATTTTGAAAGCAAAGGGGTCCTGAGTACTTTTAGTGATCTGAACATCTCGAAAAGAAAAAAAAAAGGAGGGAATAGCCGCTACAAACCTCCAAACCTGATTGGCTCCTAAAACCGAAGGGACTTCCAACTTCCTCTTGTCTCCTAATTCAAAGCCACCGCTTGCCCAAACTTATCACCAAACTTGGTATCCTTCCCAAGCACTTAGGAAAGGATCCAGTCGGCTGAACATCAAAAAAAACAATAAAAAAAATAAAGGAGAGGAGACAGCCGCTGGCAGGACTCCTAACCTAACTGGTTTCCAAACCCAATAAGTTCCAAATTCTTATTGCCTTCTGAATTGTAGCCCCACTTGTCCATATTGAGACCCAGGCTTTTCTGCACCTCTGCAAAACAAACACACCCCAAACAGCCGCACCACACCTTGCTACCTAGACAGCCACACTACAAACCAGTCTCCTAAGCAAAACCACCGCCCACTAGCATTTGCTTCCACTTTCGGTTACAACACCTTGTGAGCAGATATCAACTACTATCAAGGGCTAACCGACCCATTCTTGCACATTCCCCACAAAACCAATTCCCCATAAAATCATCAGCCAAGCCCAAGGCAGCCGTAACACAAAAAAAAATAAAACAAAATTCCAGCAAGCCAAAGTCCATTGAGTCATTTCAGCCTTGAGTCGTTTCTGGATTTGCCCATTGAGTTGTTCATTGAGTCCTGGTCAGTCTTGAGTCATTTATTGTGTCTTTCATTCTCTCCCATTCGAATGCCAAGCATTTGTTGACCTTGGTTGGTAAACGATCCAAAAAATCCAGCAATGCAAAAGGAACCAACTTCCTTGTCGGCTAGGTGTTTGAGCATCATTCTTAATTTTTTGTAGCTTTTGTGTCAAGTCTTTTCTCGATTTTTGTTCTTGAATATATTCTATCACTCCATTCTTAGTGTCCTAATTTTGTTTTTCCAGAAAATTTCCACTCTTACGAACCTCAAATTCTAGCGTGAACTTGATTTTTAAGCTAAATTTGAGCACTTGAGGAGCTCTACTTTCTTCAAGGTTTCGCAAGGGGCTGTGAGAGAATATTTTGGTGAGCTTATTAGAGTGATTTGAGTTACCATATACGAGTGTGAGAGTAAACACTTAGGGAGTGAAGTGACAAAAAAAAAACAAAAACAAAAGAAAACATTACTTTTTTCCCCTATTTCCTTTGCTACTAACCCTTGCAGGTACACTTGAGACTCCATGTCTAGTGGAAACGAAGGAGTATCCCGTCCCATTAACTTTGAACAGATGATGGAGCAAATGGAGAGACATTTCCAACGCATGCTAGAACCCATTCAAGATGAGTTGCTGCAACTCCGAGCGTCTGGAACACCAAAAACCTCTAAGTCCATGCGAAGGCGAAGGGGCGTGGAGGAGTCGTCCGATGGTTCCAATAATGATGATGATGATGAGGAACCTCGAATTCGACCAAGGCAAAGGAACCAGACTGGACCTACCGATGTATTCAAGGGAATCAAGATGCAAATCCCTGAGTTCAAAGGACGGTCCGATCCCGAGACCTTTCTCGAATGGTTATCCAAGATCGAAATGGTCTTTTCTTGCCAAAACTACACCGCGGTGCAAAAGGTGCAATTGGCCACCATGGAATTCACTGAGTACGCTGTGGTTTGGTGGGACCAAATCAAGAAGTCTAGAAGGAGAAATGGGCTACCTGAGCTTATTCCATGGCCCGAGCTTCGAGCCATGATGCGCACCCGCTTTGTACCTGGACATTACACTAGGGATTTATACCACCGGTTACAAACCTTAGTCCAGGGCAACCGGAGTGTGGATGAGTACCACAAGGAGATGGAGATCCTGATGCTTAGAGCGGATGTACAGGAGGATCCTGAAGCCACCATGGCGAGATTCTTGAGCGGGTTACGACCCGATATTGCTGAACGAGTGGAACTTCAACATTATATGGAGTTACATGAGCTTGTAGACAAGGCTATTAAGGTCGAGCAAAGGTTCAAGCGGAGGGGTACCACTCGATCGAATTTCGGCAATACCACCTACTCTACCAACCGCCCATTCCAACCAAGGAATGATTCTCGGCCTTCACCAAATGCTCCTACACCAAAGCCGAGATTCGAGGGAGGTAAGGTGGGCAACCCTAGTATTAGTAAGCCGCCCTTTTCTACTCCAAAATTTGAGGAGTCTAGGGTACAAACTAGAGCTCGTGATACTCGATGCTTCAAATGCCAAGGTAGAGGCCATATTGCTAGTCAATGTCCCAATCAAAGGACTATGATTATGATGCAAAATGGTGAGATCGTGAGTGAGGACGAAGCCGAGTACGAAGGCATACTACCTCTTGACGGAGGTAGTGATGGGGAATCACCAAATGAAGAGGAGTTTAGTGCACCCGAGGGTCATTTTGGGACTGCATTGGTTGCAAGGAGAGCATTAACTGCACGTGTTAAGGAGGACGAGCTTCAACGGGAGAACATCTTCTACACCAGGTGCTTCGTCAACCAAGCACTTTGTAGTGTGATTATTGATAGTGGGAGCTGCACAAATGTAGCTAGTTCACTCATGGTGGACAACTTGAAGTTGCCTACAAGGGATCACCCGCGACCCTACAAACTCCAATGGCTCAACAACTCTGGGGAGGTTCGAGTAACCAAGCAGGTTCTTATATCCTTCCAAATCCATAAATATTCTGATGAAGTATTATGTGATGTAGTTCCTATGCAGGCTAGTCACATTATACTAGGTAGGCCTTGGCAGTTTGACAGACAGGTGACTTTTGATGGTGTGACTAATAAGTATAGTTTCTTGTACAACAGTAAGAAAGTCACACTAGCTCCCCTTTCCCCCAAACAAGTGCATGAGGACCAATTGAAATTGCAACAAGAGTTTGAGAAGTATAGTGCAAAAAGAAAAGAAAATGAGAGAGCCGAGGCAAAACAAGAGAGAAAAAAGGCTATAGATAGCTCGGCAAGTGAGGTAAAAATTGAGGGAAAACAAATGCTCCTGATAAAAGCCAAGAAAGTGAGGAAGTTAATGAGAGATGAGCAGCCACTTCTTATGCTTGTTAGCAAAGAAGTAGCTCTGAATGTGCATGAACTTGATACTAACATACCTCTTGAGGTCAAGTCTCTGTTGCAGGAATATGCTGATATCTTCCCCGAGGACGTGCCAAGTGGATTACCACCGCTTAGAGGCATTGAGCACCAAATAGACTTTGTCCCTGGAGCTTCGTTGCCAAATCGGCCAGCTTACAAGAGCAACCCGGAGGAAACTAAGGAGTTACAAAGGCAAGTGGACGACTTGCTTGGCAAAGGATGGGCACGTGAGAGCTTAAGCCCGTGCGCTGTCCCAGTCATTTTGGTGCCCAAGAAAGATGGTACGTGGAGAATGTGCACTGATTGTAGGGCCGTAAATGCCATCACGGTAAAGTATCGCCACCCTATACCTCGCTTAGATGACATGCTTGATGAGTTACATGGGGCTGTGTTCTTTACCAAAATTGATCTCAAAAGTGGGTACCATCAAATTAGGATTAAGGAGGGGGATGAATGGAAAACTGCCTTTAAAACTAAGTATGGATTGTATGAGTGGTTAGTGATGCCTTTTGGGCTCACTAATGCACCTAGCACCTTCATGAGGTTAATGAACCATGTTCTGCGTCCATTCTTAGGAAAATTCGTGGTAGTTTACTTTGATGATATCCTAATTTATAGCAAATCTTATGATGAACACCTCGAGCATATTAGGGCTGTTATGGATGTACTTCGACGAGAGCAGCTCTATGCCAATCTCAAGAAGTGTAATTTTTGCACTAATGAGCTTGTGTTTCTAGGGTTTGTTATAAGTGCGCAGGGAATGAAGGTGGATGATCAAAAGGTGAAAGCTATTCAAGAGTGGCCAACACCAATGTCTGTGGGTGATGTTCGAAGCTTCCATGGCCTTGCGGGTTTCTATAGGAGATTCGTGAGGGACTTTAGCACTATTGCTGCACCCTTGACCGAGTTGATTAAGAAGAATGAGAACTTCCATTGGGGAGATTCTCAAGAACAAGCCTTTCGCGCTTTAAAGCACAAACTCACACATGCACCTGTACTTGCTTTACCTGACTTTTCTAAGACATTTGAGATTGATTGTGATGCTTCAGGTATTGGAGTTGGAGCTGTGTTGAATCAAGGAGGAAGACCTATTGCCTACTTTAGTGAGAAACTCAATGGGGCTGCACTGAACTACTCAACTTATGATAAAGAGTTGTACGCCCTCATTCGAGCACTACAAGTTTGGCAGCACTACTTAAGGCCTAAGGAATTCGTGATACACACTGATCATGAGTCCCTTAAATACCTTAAGGCCCAGCACACCTTGAGCAAAAAGCATGCAAGGTGGATCGCATTCGTGGAGTCCTTTCCGTACGTAATTAAATATAAGGCTGGTAAGTCTAATGTGGTCGCGGATGCACTCTCACGAAGGTACTCTCTACTCACTTCCTTAGATGCTAAGTTGTTAGGGTTTGAGCTGATTAAAGACATCTATGCCCAAGATAGTGATTTCGGTGAACTTTACCTTTCTTGCAAACACACTGGGCAAGGTAAATTCTTCATTTCCGATGGTTACTTGTTTTATGCCAATCGGCTTTGCATCCCACATGGATCCATCCGAGAACTTTTGGTACGAGAATCCCATTCGGGTGGCCTTATGGGACATTTTGGGGTTGATAAGACTCTTGCCATACTGCAGGAGCACTTCTATTGGCCGCACATGAGGAGAGATGTTGCACGGGTGGTGGAGCGATGCTTAGCTTCTAAGAAAGCTAAATCCAAGGTACACCCGTATGGCCTTTACACCCCGTTACCTATTTCTAGTGCACCATGGGTCGATATTTCTATGGATTTTATACTTGGTTTGCCTAGATCCAAGTATGGCCATGACTCCATTTATGTGGTAGTTGATAGATTCTCTAAAATGGCACACTTCATTGCATGTCATAAAACTGATGATGCATCTCATATTGCTAACTTATTCTTTAAAGAGATTGTGAGATTGCATGGCATTCCTAGGACCATTGTCTCAGACAGAGATGTCAAATTTCTGAGCTATTTTTGGAAGACACTCTGGTCTAAGTTAGGCACCAAATTGCTATTCTCTACTGCCAGCCACCCCCAAACTGATGGTCAAACTGAGGTGGTAAATCGTACATTAGGTACCTTGTTGCGTGCCATCATCAAAAAGAACTTGAAATCATGGGAAGAATGTTTACCTCATGTTGAGTTTGCTTATAATAGGGCTATCCATTCTACTACAGGTTTCTCTCCATTTAAATGTGCTTATGGTTTTAATCCACTAACACCACTTGATCTAGTGCCATTACCTAGTAATGAGCGTGCACATTTGGATGGTAAGAAACGTGCAGAGTTTGTTAAGCAACTGCATGAGAAAGTCAGGGCTAACATTGAGAGGAGAACTGCTCAATATGTCAAGCAAGCTAACAAAGGTCGCCAAAAGTTGATTTTTGAGCCTGGCGATTGGGTGTGGTTGCACATGCGCAAAGAACGCTTTCCTGTTCAAAGGAGGAACAAATTACAACCACGTGGTGATTGACCTTTTCAAGTGTTGGAGCGCATCAATGACAACGCCTACAAACTTGACCTTCCTGGTGAGTATGGAGTTAGTGCTACATTTAATGTCTCTGACTTAGCTCCTTTTGATACAGATGATGCGTTTGATTTGAGGGCAAATCCTTCTCAAGAGGAGGGGAATGATAGCATCATGGTACGTGGGCAGGCCAACAATGGCTCGGGTAATCGAGGAGCTGAGGATCACGTGCTCGCCCCAAGTGGACCCATTACTCGGGCTCGCGCAAAGAAACTTCGTGAGCAACTCAATGTACTTATTCAGGCCATACACAAGTCCTTTGAAGGATTCATGCATTCAAGTGAAGGTGGTCGCGGTCCGATAATGAGCATTGAAGCTACACCCGAGGATTAGGGTTTTGCCAAACCCTAATTTCCGTTTTAGCATCATAGTTAGTTATTTCCACATTAGTTGATTAGATTGAATAATTGGATAAGTGCATATCGCACGTAGAATCGCCAAGGGTAGGATTGCTAATTTACTCATTATTATTTGCTAGAGTGGGCTGCCTAGAAAGGAAAGCCCACGTGAGGCCCAACCCGTCGGGGGTTAAGCCTCCTTTATTAGGGCCCATATCCACTGCGCCCTTAGTCCATTTTCTACTAGATTAGGGTTTTCACTTGTAGCCTATATAAGGCACCATATTACATCAATAAAGGGGAGACGCTTTTATGGTAAAAATATTGAGAGAGTTTTCTCCATAGCTTTCGAGCAAACCTTGAACAACTTAGAGTTATACTCTAGTGTTCTTGTTCGGCTTATCAATTCAAGAATCGCACTTGAATTGTGGCGCCTTCTACACTTGCCTGAGGTTCACTAATTCGTTTGATTACGGGTTGAGATAGTATCAACAAGTTCGTAGTCACGGGGATTAGAGGGGTCGTAGGGTTTCCGCTGCCACCGTTTCTTGCACCCGACGTCAAATCCAACAAGCGATCTTGGGTTGCGAATCTTCTCACCAACGGGATTCGTATCAGCTGGCATCAGAGCTAGCTTGTTGGTAACATCGTTTATCCCTCTTTTGTGTCTTAATTCGTACCTTCCGTATCTGTCTCGTTAGTTAAAAACTGTTGAAGTTTTCTGATCAGGAGACCAGACCAGTGTTTACGTTTCAGTCCATAACTTTTCATCCAGGAGTTGAAATCAAGTGCCATTTGTGGCATCTGAAACTAGACTCCGAGGGCTTTCCAACGGTATAAAATATACTTTCTAATTCATTTCCTATGAGCCGTAGTGAACCGGCAAAGATGACTGATTTTCCTCACTATTTTCATCCGAAAAACAAGCATAGCTACAGCTCATTTTCACCTATCTTGCAAAATGAATTTTAAGACAGTTCCTTTTAGTGATTTTTAGCATTTTGAATCCAATTTTCAACACCACAAACCATGCTCAATTTTGAGTTCTGTAGCTTTAGTTATGATCACATTTTGAAACTGTGTTAAGTGCCCCAAAACTGGAAATTTTGTGAACCAGGTTCCAAAAGCAGCTTTCGTAAAACTGTTGTATCTTAGTGTAGAAAGGTCCAAATTGAGTTCCATTTGTTGCATTTGAAACTAGATTTGGAGTTCTTTCAGTGGTATAAATTTTAAAGGCTGATTCTATTTCTATGAATTTTACCAAATTTCCAAAGTTCACTGAAATTGCAAGCCTGTTTTGCTCTGTTCTATCTGGAACAGTGACTTGGAGCTAAAATTTGAATGATTTCGGATTTGAATCTGGGAAAACTGTCTTCTATAGAGTTTTAGTACATTGAATCTAGTTTCCAATGGTATAAATTTTCCAATTTTTGGACTTGCAGAACTCGAGATATGATTTTTCCAATCGGTGTCCCACAAAGCTGAAATTTTCTGGTTTCAAACAAAATGCTCTTTTAAGAACTTTCCACTTTCCTTTGAAATTATTAGCCCGTTTTAAGTTTGATTTAATGGATGGATACAAGGTTTCTTTGAACTTTAAACCTGCGCTTTGAATCTTGGTTCCCCAAAGGATTAAACTTCCCTTGATGCGTTTTCTTGGTTGCCTAATTTTCTTGGTTAATGGCTGTGACGCCCCGAAAAAAAATGAGTTTGAGAACCCGGAAATTTTCTAATTTTCTAGGGTTTATTTTTTTAAACGCCCGCCTTTTCTACATTTTCTTGATTAGAAAAATTCCCCAAATAAAGTTTATGAGCAAAAATAGTTTTAAAATGATTTTTCTAGTATCGGTTAGTTTTTGTGAAATTAAAAGCGTATTTTGGACGTGGGACCCGCAAGTGCGGTAAATGCATTATATTTTTGACAACTTGTTGGAATTTTGTATTAAGTGATATTATTTTACAATGTGTTAAGATATTTGTATTGGAGAGACAAAAAGATAAGATTAAAACCCTAAAGGACCATTTGTCACAAAACCATTGGACCTTGACTTTTGACCAAGACTTTTCTAACTTTACTAAAACCAATTTGGACCCAATTTCTCTCCATTTTAGCTTGTCTTGGACAAAATTTTGAGAGAAAAAGAGAGAGAAAATCCAGCATCTTGCACTTCAATTTCTTGTCCAAATCTTGAGTTCCAACCGATTAAATTGCAAATCACTCCATAAAACTTGCTAGCTAAGGAAGATTGAAGCTCTTGGTGGAGTTGTTTTGGAAGAAAATCCCTAAGTCATCACCTTTCTTGATATTTGAAGGTATCATGTCTAGCCATCCTTTCTTTGTTCTTGATTATGCTAAATTAGAGACTTGTGATGGCTAAAGAGCTGGTTTTATGGATTATATCTTGATTTTGGTTGAATTGGTGAAGTTTTATAATTATTGGGGATTTTTCTGTTTTCATATGGATATGATTATGGGGTCATGTATGCTGATTGGAAATGATGTTTAAGGACTCTATGAGGTGGAAAAAGTGATTAATTGCAACCAATTTCTGTTTTGGACCAAAAATTGAAAAGTGAGGGTTTTGTGATGAACATTCTGTCCGAATTTTTAGGTCCTAGATAGAGGCCGAATTTGTGAGAACCCTGAAAAATAAATATCATATTGTATTTCATTTGCATTTCTTTTAACTCTTTAATAAATTTTAACATTAATTTCCCTTGTCTGCAAATAAGTCCGTAAAAACAATTTTATGTGAGAAATAATATAATTTTCCCAAGTTACGAATTTTCTTGACTTTGCTAGACTAAATTAATACATCTGGAGTTAGAATAATTTATCGCCTTAAAATAAAATGCTAAAATACTTAGTTTTCTTTATGTTAAAAATTAATGCTACCTGAGTAGATTAATTATGTAAAATTTCGTGAATTCCAATAATTAATCCTAATTAGCGAATAACGTTAAATACTAATAAGAATTTTCACGTTAAGACCAAAACTAATAAAGTTTATGTGCAAACTGACACCCTTGGATTAAATTATTGTTTCACTTGACTTTATATTACTAAATCGATAAATTTCGAGTTAGACTAACTCTAATTCTTGAGATATAATAATTGGAAATTCTGATAACTAATTCAATCGCTAAACAATGTTAGGAATTACTAGGAACCTTGATATTATATTGTAATCGATAAAATTCGATAAAAATGGTTTAAGTATACTAGTGTATCATTAGGCGTTCAAATCACAATTGGGATTAAATTAGAATCAAGGACTCAAGTATTATTAGAAGGTCGAGTGAAAGGTCCAAAACATCCCTCACCATTTTCACAACATCACCCACGGCCACATCCATTTCAGGCAGCCAAACAACTCCCCGGACATCATGATCACAAGCCACTCCATTCGGCCAACCGCAGCTCCACCACCCTAGCTGACCAACCGCAACCTTCACCACTGCAGTACACAACCTCTGCTAACACTCAATCTCCTCACCTAAATACCGCAGCACCACCACCTTTCACAACCCCAATCTGTCTTGGATCAACGACACAAGAGTGAGGGAGAGACTTACCTCGTGAGTATCGACCGAGAGTGAGTGAGAGGCCGAGCTGCAACATCTTCCATTGCTGTTCGTGAGCCAGAAGAAAGAAAGGGGAGAGCTAGTGGAAGTCGTAGGAGCTGCTGACCATCATCATCTTCGACCAACATCCACCAGCTGCAACCGAATTCTGTTTTGTGCGTGAGAGCCGAGAGGAAGGAAACTTTTCAAACTTTCTGTCCGACAACTTAGCTTGCCGTGAGGTGATTTCTGAACTCCATTTAATCTGGTTAAGAGATTGATTAAGCTATGCAGTTGTCGAGTGAGCAGGGATTAGCTAGGAAAATTTTTAATGGACTTAAAAACCTGGCCACATTCAAGCCATCGGGAATGAGTGATTAAATTCTGGAAATTTTGATTTCGGACTACCGAGTAGCTGAATTAGAAATACAACTTTAATTTTACTTCTCTGAGGTAATCTGAGCTCATATATGCGGTTACTTAACTCTAAACATGACGTTCAAGGTCATGCATGTCAATCTAAGTGTTCGGATGTTGCATTGAGAAGCTTAGAAAAAAATTCTGTTTTGATGGAGAAAATTTCTGCCGTGACTGGTTAAGAAATGATTTGCTTAATTTGCTTAATTATGACAAGCTGTGGTTATAATCCTAACTATCCAAGTGAAGACAAAATGCTTAAGGGCCTGCATGTTGAGTTACACGATTGGACAATGAAACTAGGAACTTGGAAAAATTCTGGTTTTGTGAATTGGAATTCTTATGAGCTGAAAATTCCCGAGACCTTAAATTTGATATTTAATTCTCAATCTGTCTTATGGCGATGATATGAGTTGATTCATACGATTAACTAGTTAACAACATGTTAATTGATGTTTGCATGAGGTCTTGTAGCTTGGCTAATCAAGAAAATAAAATGAAAGCAGAAAAATTGGTACATGAACGATCATCCGAGTTTAGTTGATATAATTCTGGATTTGTGTTAGATGTGTGTAATTGTAGTTTGAATCTGGATTTGATTTGGAAACCTTTACTAGCTAACTACGTGTTTGCATGTCCTAATAGAGTACCAAAAATTCTGTTTTAACCAAAGAAAATTCTGTTATAGAACCATTGTTATTGCTGGAATTTCTTTGTGAAACGCTGTGAACTTGAACTTGGAAATGTTTTAAGTGGTTCCTGGAATTTTTCCCTGGGGTGTTAGGAACTCGAAATGCATGACAAAATGTACATGTAATCTGTGAAAGCTATTTGGCAATGAGTCATTTGATATCTTGAAAGATTTAACCAAAAACATGGATATACAACTGCTGGAAATTTTCCTTGTGATCGCCAAAGTTTGAGTTAAAAATTCCAGCTTGATTGTGAAACTTTCTTTGAATTCATAATGGTTGAAATTGTCTAGAAAATGTGGTGCTAAAATTCTACTAGAGT